GTTTTAAGATGAAGATTAATCAGAATGGGCATGTGTTCTGACTTCCTTCCCAGTGGAGCTCTGAACAATTCACCCAGCAGCTCCAGCATTTGAAGCCAGAATTTCTATTGCAGAGAGGTCACCAGGTGGGAAGATAGCAAAGCAGCGCATTGGCATTATTGAGGAAGCTGGAAGGAGAGATGGAATGGAGCCTCAGGCTAACAGGATATTGCTCCTGGTGCAATATTCTCTCCATGGCCTGGGTTGGGTCCTGATTTGAGTCATTACCTCCCAACATCACCTGGAGTTGCAGCAGGTTGTATTTCTTTTATCCTGCCCTGCAGCAGGGAGGGCTGGGTATGTGCAGGTAGTGTATGAAGTCTCTTCTATTTAGAAGCTACAGAGCATGCTAGGAGACCCAGAGATAGGAAACATCATAGGAATTAAACCTTCCAGGTGTCAGCTATCAACACCCAAACCAAAAAATATTCCCTGAGGTGAGGAAAAAAATGGTGAACTCATAATGAACATCCAGCTTTATCTTCTGTGTCTTAGCTCTCGAGCTGCCGTTTTGGAAGGGAGAGTACTGATGTGCTGCTTTGACAGTGTCACCAGAAAGCCATGGGACAGTGTCCTTGGAGTCAGGACAAAGAGGTTATTCTGTGAATCCCAGCTCAAGTTTGCTCTCCAAGCAACCCCAGAAGGAGTTGGAGTACTCCCAGAAGAGTCCAGCATGTCCAGACATCTGACCATCCAGCCTACTCAACCTCCTGTTGAGCTTCTAAATCAATTGTCAGTAGCAGCTGGAAGTTGTTGTTATTCTTAGAATTCCCCAAATCTCTATGTACAATGATGTCAATGAAGAAGCTGAAAGCTTTAGACTCTAGACTGAGTCCTTCCTACGTCTTCTATAAACTGGTTTGTTGTGATTAAGTGTCCATGAGTGAATAGGGTATTGTCAGCAGGATTCCAAGTGAGATTTTGGTAAAGAGTTTATGGTAGTTCAGAAGGTGCCTTGACATTTTCTCTAGAAAAGCAGCTCTGGCAGGATATCGCTGCTGGGTAACACAGACTTGAGAGTTTCCTAGCACTGTGCTGAGCCTCTGACATGGGAAATTTGGGGTGTTTATCGAGTCGTCTGATGGGTTCTCCAAGTCACAGTATTTTTAAGTGTTTGCAGCGCTGATCCCAGGATACCATCTTTGCAGTCCACAGAGATCACCTGCTTGACCTGTTTTGGGGGCTTTCAGAGGACTGTGCATTGCCCTGCTGCAGACCCAGGAAAGCACCAAGTTTGACATGAGCCAAGCTACACTGCTTCACTTGAACTTCAGATCTGGCCTGTCCTTTTCAGTTGTTTCTTTAATTTTATAATAAATTGACCAGTCTCATCAAGCACACTTTGAGGTGCTTGAAGGCACCAGGCACTTAGAGGTGTCTGGAAAATCACATTGGAAACATCTCCCATAGTCTCTGTTTGCCTTTGTCATTTCCCAGTGGACTCTTTGAGGAGTGGGGACACAAGATCTGAGCTGACAACCTGAGCTTGAGCATAGCTGGGAAGCATGAAACAGAAACCAGAAAGGAAGGAAAGGGAAGTCATTTCAGCTATCTTAAATACCCATTTGCCAAATGACACAGTTGTCCACTGGGGCCAAAGTTAGGTCTTCTGATGTGCCTAGTGCTGCCTTTCCAATCCTTCTCTAAATGTGTTCTGTACTCCCAGTTTATGTAATGACTCATGCTAAACCAGTACAAAGCAAATTTCAGTTGAATTGAGAGCATTCAATTCTAGACCTTTGCACTGATTTATCTCAGAGTCTAAAAGCAGAGCTTGAGCGATATCAAGGCAAGTCTGTGTGTCAGCCATGCCTGATTATCTCATGCAGCAACTGGGTCCTGATCGGTTAATTTTTGGGGGATTTTCTCTGAGAGCCACATGAGTTTCTCTACAGGGAAGGATTGGGACATCTGGGAGAGGAGCAGGCGGAAATGCTGTCCTTGTCAGAGAGAACCTGAGGAGGAGACAAGTAAAGAGTACTAAAATAATACACACAAATTTTTAAATTTTGCAATTTCATGGCTGTTTTGCTTTCTTCCTTTTTTTTTTTTTTTTGTTTAATCATCTGATATTTGTGGGTGTTCTGCTGCACGGGTAGCAGTTGCTGTAAGAGAGTCCCGTTAGTGGAAATCACATCTGTAGCAGGACCAGATGAATCCGCCCAGACTTGGCTTTCCCAAGTGGGTCTGACGGTCATTCCCGGTAAGACGCGAGCAGGTGGAAGGTGCCCCTCTCTGTATGTTCGCATTTCTTGTGATAACAGGGAGGAAGGGTAAAAATAATGTGCACTGCTTAACCTGAATTAATGTACTTTCCTCACCCAACCACAGCTTTACAGGGCTGAAACTTTAACATCTTTGTCTTTTCTTAAACTCACTCTAGGTATCAAACTGGTTTGGAAATAAGAGAATCCGGTACAAGAAGAACATAGGTAAATTTCAAGAGGAAGCCAATATTTATGCTGCCAAAACGGCTGTCACGGCTACCAATGTGTCAGCCCATGGAAGCCAGGCTAACTCACCCTCAACTCCCAATTCAGCTGGTTAGTTTTTGTTTGTTTTTTATTTTGGGTTGTTACTTGTTCGTTTTTTTGTTCATTTTTTCCTCCTCCCTCTAAACTCTCTCTCTCTCTCTCTCTCTCTCTCTCTCTCTCTCTCTCTCTCTCTCTCTCTCTCTCTCTCTCTCTCTCTCTCTCTCTCTCTCTCTCTCTCTCTCTCTCTCTCTCTCTCATATTTTCTCCCTTTGATTTTCTGATTTTTGATTTGGTTGGCTCACTTTTGTGGTCTTTTTAAAAAAGTGGGTTTCTAAATTTGGGGTTGCTTTGGGAGGGGAATATTTCCTTTTTTTTTTTTTCTTGGTTCCCCATTCCGTTCTGTTTTGTTGTTGCTGTTGTTCAAAAGAGATGTGATCAGACCGTGTGACTGATGGTGACGTGCTGGGGGTTATATGGATGGATGGTAAACACAAAATCTGGGAAATTTCTAGCTAAAAAAAAAAATGCTTGAGTGATTTTTGCTTGTTTTGGGGGAAAGGAAGAAAAGTGTGGAAAAAAAAAAAAAAGAGGGGAAAAACTCCCCAACAAATTCTTGCATATGTGTTCTGTTTTGCCAGGGGCTGAAGGCATGAGTGACTCTAATCAGTAGAACCCAACACTTGTGGAGTGTCCCAGCTCATGCTGTTTTGGGGGTTGTTTTGGGGGTTGCTTCTACTGTAGTTACCTCTGCCTGATTACCTGACAGTGTCTGGATCCCTGCAAGAGTGTGTGTGAATTTTACTTTCGGTTGAAGAATTTCAATTGAATTTCATTGGTGTCCATATGCAAAAAGACTGAAATGCGTGGGTTGCTTTGTCCCCTTCGCCCCTCTCCTCCCCGTGTGACATGGTTTCCATTCTGTGTGCTCAGAGGGCTAAAGGCACAGAGCACTTTGGCCAGGCCTCGTTCCTGCTCTAGACACTGCTCCGTGGTTCGCCCACAGCCAGGCGAGCCGGATCCCAACGCTCCCAGCCTGGTGGGAATGCCTTGTTCTGGTTGTGCTCGGCTCACGGGAGAGATGGGGAAATTGGGACCTCATTAAAAGAAAGAAGAAAAAAAAAGTTAACTTAATGGGTGCCCTGTGCCTAAAATTATCCGTACTACAAGTTTCTGTGTGTCTGTTTTCTTTTTAGGGGTGGGAGGAAGAAGGGGAATGTGTCATACATGTGTCTTTGAGCTTGGTATCTGTTCACGCTACCCTTTCTCCAGGGCATGAAGCTGTTATCAGGCTATAAAAAGGAAGGACACGATGGAGCAGTGAAGGGAGAGATGGGTGGGAAGAGAAGGCAGATGTTGAACAGACCATTGGTGGTACATCATGCAAACACTGGTGGTTACCATGACAGGCCTATATAGTGAGGGCAGCTTTGCCTGTGACAGTACCAGAAGACTCCCATGCCAGAAAACACCCCTGGATCTAGAGGATCTGGGAGGAAGGTGGAGAAAGCAGAGCCAAGGGTCAAGCAAATGGAAAAGCACCAGTGCGGGTTTCTGGCTGGTTTCCCAAATCAGTCCTCCACGGGAGGGGAAAGACCATCTGTTATCCAGGAGCTCAGGTGGTAAACGGTGGTTGATCTCTATGCTGGAGAGCTCATCCACACCTCCCAGTGATGCACGTGACAGTTTGCACAGAAGCATTTTGCAGTTTTATTGAGTTGGCCAGTGTAGAGAAGCCCCTGCACACAACTGCTTACCTTCAAGGGGCCTTACCTGCTAGGAGACGCTTAGCCCACCTGGAGCAGGAGGTGTTGCAGCTTTTGCTTCAAGGTCAGAAGCGTTGCTGGAAGGCATCCCTGGTGCCTCTGCAAGTGCAGGGTCAGCTGCAATGGGCTCTGGTTTGGGTGAGGTGCTCAGGAGGTTCGGGAGGAGTTTTGCAAGGATAGATGGTTTGCAAAACTTTGATTCTTTTCTTTATCTTTTTTTTTTCTTTTCTTTCCATTGTTTTAACTGCTAAAGATTTTGATGCATTTATTAAAATGTCATCCTTTGCAAGCAGCTCTCTCAAAATACTTAATCAGATGGAGTGTGTTGATGTTAAACCCCTCCTCCCATGTAGAAAAGCCTGGAGGGGAGACTGCAGAGTTGCGTGTTGTCTAAGACACCCTCCTGCACGTGGTGGTGTCCTGCAGTCCGCGCCAACATGAGGCACATCACAGATTTCGTTCCTTTTCCTCTTTCTTCGATTGGAGTCAAGCCCAATGCCATGGAATAGCAAGGGAAAAGCTTCAAATGACTTATATGTGTCTATGTATAGTGGAATAGGCATTTCCCCAGTGCCTGCCCAGTTAAATAGTGCTCTAGTGCAAGTGTCTTTCTGTGACTTCCCCACAGGCAATAATGTGGCTGTTTTGAAGATAAATTGGCCGGTACCTTGCAGTAAATGACTAAGATAATCCCTGGATAACACTCCACTTTCTAAGAAAGGACAAACAGTCTTGTTATTAAAGTGTGAGACTTGAGCTCCCAGGTCTTCTATCTGGCTCACTTGTCTACTCCAGAAACACTGACCCGTGTGGGAAAGAAGCACAATAATGTGAGAGGGGCTCTCTGGCCATGAAGATCCTTGTTCTGCGAGAAACGACGTGTGCTCCAATCTGGACCATCAATTCCTGTCATCTACTCTTTACGCCGCAGTCACGGGATGGGAGAGCAGGCAGTGGGGACACCCCTCTTCAGGACGGGTCTGGATCAGCTTGTGATGCTGGTGGGATTGGAAGTTCTCGTTTTCTTCTCCTAAGAAGGCAGCTGGAATGGTCTCAAGATTTTATCTCCAATGGTGATAGGCCAGGTTGAGATCTCCTCAGTTGAGCCATGTACATGTAACACCTCCACCAAGCATCCCTGTGCTGTGTTGTACTGGGCAAGAGCATGTGTGAAGTTGTGTGACCTTCCCTGCTTCAGGTCATCCTGGTGAACGGATACAGCTGTGCATGCCAGGTGGGAAATACTCATCCGCTAAAGATTTGGAATGTTGTGTTCAGACCGTTGAGGATCCAGTCCTCAGATGTGCTGAATAACCCTGGGGAGGGACTGTGTTTGGAAGGAACATGGAAATGGATGAGGAGGTGAAGAACTAACATGAATGGTGGTACTCCTGTCACAGAGCAAGCACTTTTCCCGAACGTTGTCTGAGAACTTTGGTGAGGAAGGAAGCGGAACAGAGGCTCGATTTGCTGGGAATTTTGAGGGCTTTCTATTTAAATAAAGGCATTTGGGAAGAGAATGGGCAGAAGACAGGTCATGAGAAAGAAGCAACAGCAATGTAATCCCTGGAGGACTGTGATGCTGGAAGAGGATGTGGAACTGTGTGTGATGGGACCTGGGACAGGAGCTAAATTCATTTCTGCTGTGACTACGCAGGCCCATCTGTTCTCTGCATTGGTGCCCATGTTACTGGAGATCAGTGAATGGCTACAGTCAGTCAAAGAGATTGGCCACACATTGACAAGGGCAAAGACTGCATCTGTGTAGCCATCTGGCACGTTCTAAAGTAGGGTCCCCCATCCTCAGTCACCCAGGCCTGAATGTCAAACACCTTTTCATCCCGAATATGCACAGCTGGGCTTTATCAGCCAGATGTTCAGATAAGCTGAGATGTCTGGCTCATTTGGGCTAACAACTCCCCAAACTCACTTTGATTGCTTGGACAATCTCAGCACAAAAAACACATGGTAAATGAAAGTTATTTAACTTGGACGGACCCTTTTGCCAACCAGAGTCCTCAAGGACCACAAGCAGGTGATGATATCCAGTGAAATCTTCTGTGCAGAGCAGCCAAAATTGTCCTGGGCTGTTATTTTTCCTTTTTTTCTACTCATCTTTTTGTTTCATAAAAGCCTTCTTGCAAAGCCGTTGATGGAGACATACATGCTTCTGGAAACATACTTCTTCTGACACTGGCCTGATTGTTGCTGTGCTCTGTGTCCTCTCTTTTCCTGTGTCCTCTCTTCCTCCACTTTTTGTGACACCTGTAGTTCAGAGTGCACCAGAGTGCAGGGTTGGAGAGGACCCTGCAAGAGCTTCAGTGGAGAGATGATCCTGATCATGGTTGAGTAATACATGGCAAGTGGAAAAGGAACGAAAAGTTCCCTGCTGGGCCTGCTCAGAATATTTTTATTTGTTTTTTAAACCTGATGTCAAACTTACTGGCTTTGTCCAGATGAGGAGCTGCATGATCTATCAGGTTCTTCCAACATCTTTGGCCATGGTGGAGCACAAGGAAAAGTTACCTCCTGTATGAGAGGTGGGGTTGAATTCTGTGCTCTTGATGTGTGAGTGTCAATGGCGGTGACTTCAGGTCTTGTGTACATGACGGAAGTTGACTTCAGTGCGGAAAGTTGACTTCAGCCTGACCATTGGAGGGTGGAATGAAGCAGCACATAAAGATGAAGGTTTCGGGGGTGAACACCATTCCAGAAACTGGCAAATGAGCGCCCTGAAGAACTGCAGATGTTGCAAACATACCAGCAATCAAGCCCGTGAGGAATTTTTAATTGGAGGCAAGCTTCCAGGGAGGTTTGCTCATCATGAGTGTTAGGGATTGAAGGGATCCCTTTGTGGGCATTGTGTAAATGTAGACTTTCACCCAAAACCAAGATCCGAGTGCCATAGCGTGTTTTATTTTATTTTATTTTGTTTACTGGAATTGCTGTTGGCTCGATGGAAATGCAGCACCAAGGAATGATTGTGATAGGCCTTGGCTTTGATAGGAGGTGCAGAGGCTGAAGATGAACCACTGTTCCACACTGCTCCAAGCTGCAGTGACTGTTGTTTTCCCTGGTGTCCTTTGTTCCAGCTATGGCATCAGGGGATTTACATGTCAAGAGCAGAGCCCTTTTGTCCAGAGTTTACAAGCTCACAGATGATCATTATATCTCAGTTCTTGAGGATTCTGAGATTAATTTATGACCATTGAAAAGCTCTGGTGTGTTTAAAATGGAGCTTTTTAGAGACACAGATTAGATTTATGATGGAGCTTCTTCCAGTGGATTTGACTTGTACTCCCTGTTTTCTCCCCACCTGAGGATGCTAGCATCTTATTTCTGAGGGCTCTTCTCATTCCTGCCTCCTCTCCCAAGCACCCCAGTGCATCAGCCCCTCTTAGCTGCTTCTCTGAGACTTTGGGCCATCATAATTTTCACACATGGCTAGTACATACAGAGCAGACTGCTGAAACAGCAGAGCAGGCAGCATAAAGGGCTCTCTGCAATTATGGCTGTGATACAAATGCATCCATACGTGCAGGCCATTGGTATGCGCATATTTATCTTTGCATCCACATCAGCAGCAAGACATATTTACCGTTTAGATATGCACATATATTGTAAAAATACCGTGTGCCAATAGCAGTGTATATCTTGCAAGTGACATCTCCAGCGCTCCTCATGATTTCCAAGACACCGGCGCTTTTCAGAACTAGTCTTTGTAGCTGTTTATTTTTGTTTCCTCACTCCCATTCTCAATTTTACAGGCAAGTTTGTTAAGTTTCAATAAAATATCGGTTAAGTTTATGTTGGTTTTATTTTTATTCCAATTTTATTTTGGTAGGGGAAGGTAGAAGATGTTGCTCTGCTGGGGAGAGGGTGATAACAGTATCTTGCTAGTTGCTCAGGGATGTCAGATTCTCCTACTTGCTCTGCCACTGACTACTAGTGTCATCTCAAAGGTTTTTGCTCACCTTGGAAGAACAGGACAATATGTTCTGCTTCTTGTGAGGGTCACCTGAAAAGTCATTGTTTTTTAACTGCTGTGGGAGTGCAAAACCATCTTACTGGCCTTTGCTTTTATCCCAGTGTTTCAAGTGATGGTTTAGAAAACCTGGTAAGAAGCGTCTTGGTATACATGACAAGTGCCCATCTTCATGGTTGCAGCTGAGCAGTGCCAGGGTGGCATAACCTGAGAGGTTGGGAGGTGACAGGTGCCCTTTGGCAGCTGGCCGAAGGAGGTGATGGTTACAGCTGCCTCCTGACTAGTCCTGGTTGTTTTATGCCCGTTGGTTGATGGTTCTCTGCGCAGGGCTGGCAGTGAACACAAACAGTGGAGCCATTCCGGGCTCTGCCCCTTCCAGGCATGAGGGGGAGGGCTTTGCTCAGGATAGGTCTTTCTCTTGACTATCCTGAACATTGTATCTAGCAGTGACTTTTTCTGCCTGCCTTTAATTTCAAGACTTGCTGGCATGTGGTAGAAGAGCCCTTTGCAAAGAGAGCAGTAGGCAGCTTAGTGAACGTGAATCCTCTAGTGCAGACCTCCCCTCTGCTCCCTGACCTTTCTTGTAGGTGGTTTCCATCAGAGAAGCCTTCCTGCTTGATTCCAGGGAAGAGCTGGAGTCTGTGCAGAGGCTTCCTTCCCTCCAGCGCAGGCCAGGAGAGGGGTGCTCAGAGCGTACGCATGAGCCATAGTTGGGCAATTCCACCAGGACTGTGGTTGCCAGTCTTCCAAGCTGGAAACGGCAGTGGAGAAGACGAGAGTGTATTTGGGGTTGGATCTGAAAGTGTAGCTGACCTGGGCCCCTGAAGTCTCTCCTTTCCAAGGCTAACGTCATGTTTATAACCAAACCTTGCACGTTGAGCTGTCTCACACTTAACGCGCTGATCTGCACGATAAGTTCTGAATAATCCCATAAAACCTTTTTATTTATTTTTAACCCCCTTCCCTCCCACCCACCTTCCAGTTACATGATGGGTTTGTTTCTCCTGTTCAGCAGTTGTTAGGCACTCAGATATCTCAGAGCTGGAAGCAGAAAAACTTGTTTCTGCGAAGGCAGGAAGATTTTTTTTTAATTTATCATTTGATTGTTCTTTTTTTCTTAACCCACCCAGTTGTCTTCACTGATACCATTTTTTTTTTAGTTTAACATTGGCGACTGGTGCATGCGGTGGGGAATTTGCTTACATAGCTTGTTCTTCTTGGGCAGCTGGCCCAGTAGGAAAAAATGACAGCCTTGCTTTCTCTCATAGCCCATCACGATGAAAGACGCTTGCCAAAGTGATTGGTAATGGAAGGCTACGCAGGTGCCTTCACATTTTTGTGCGCCTTCACTCTTGGCATGCTGCAGTTCCCACCAGTGATGGATTTGCTGTGGAGTGACAGTGACATCGCTACTATTGCAGTGTCCTGAAGGCAAAACTCCACACTCCGCTCCCTCAGTGGGAGCTTTGGCCTTGCAATTGGATGGTACTTGGATGTGTTCACCTTGCAGAGGGCAGTGCAGCATAGATACAACCAGACTGATCGAGGGATCTGAGGTTTCCAGCAGCCACAGTAGCATGCGTCTGGTTAGCCTTGCTGCAAAGGCTTCTGCTTTTGATAGCGAGGCTTGTTTGAGTAATTCAGTTGTCCTGTGCAATCTGCTGGGTGGACACCTCCAAAAATCACAATTTTCAAAGCTGCCTGAAGGATTTTGACGCCCAGAAATGAAGAAAAAAGGCTGTCCAAGTCTTCCAGGCTGAGTTTTGTTTCTCTTGGTCCAGAGCATGAAGAATTCTTCCTCCACCTGAGGAGCCGTTCAGACACATTCTTGACGTTGAAATGTAACAACATGTGGCTTTGAATAACCTTAAGAGTGCATCCTTTTTTTTGCTTGCTCTGTTCTTCATACTACTAACCTGACTGTGTGTTTTGTTTTTGTGGTTGCTTTGCATGTTGTTCCTTCCTCTTGGCTGAGAGTCATGGGGTGGATCTTTTTC